AACAGATCTGTGTTGGAAGAAGTGCAGCCAGAGTGCTCCTTGGAGGCCAGGATGGCCAAATTCCTTTCCCATACTTTGGACATATTGTCAGGATGGACCAGTCACTGGAGAAGGATATCATGTTTGGTAAGGTGGAGGGTCAGAGAAAAAGAGATGGGTTGGCAAAGTGGCAGCATCAATGGGCTCAAGTGTGGCAACAATTGTGAGGTTGGCCCAGGATCATTGAGCAGTGTTTCCTTCTATTGTGCATAGGGTCACTATGAGTCGGTACTGACTCTATGGCATCTAACAACAACAACAATAGCGGATGTTTCTTAAAACTTTTTACCTGGCACATGACTTCAAATGTGTTTGAAACAGAAAACCTTCTAACCCTCAAAAACCCTGCAAATTTACTCCTCCCCTCAACAAAACCAGAGGGAATGGAAGCAAACACTGTTGGATGATGATGCACCGAGGGGATTGTAATTGCAATGAAATGATGAGTGTAAAACCGCTGTTCTCCTCTGTAAACTATCACTCAATATACAATAAAAAACCTTTAAAAAAGAAACCTGAGCATTAGTCTAATACAACAACTTTTTATGGTTCCCTTATCAACCTGTCAAAAGGTCAGTCTTTGCCCAAGGAGAAAGTTCAGAAGGGTTAGGAGGAAAGGAGGAGGATCAGAAACAAAAAACATGGAGGAAATTGGTTAAGCGATGTTACATTGTAGAGACTGTACAAGGAACAGAATATGTATGAGCTGTTGAATGGAACACTGATCTTCTCTGTAAACCTTCACGCAATTCAGAATAAAAAATTTAAGAAAATAGTAAAACAAAAACAAAAACACAACCCTGTAAATTTACATATATTAAAAATAGGATTAATCTTTCTTAGCAATAAATAATAAGCATCCAGAAAGAACTAATCTATTACCTTTCCTTACTCTACCATTACCTTAAAAAAAAACAAAAAACCCAAACCCCACCTGTATTTTTATAAAAGTTACTCATAAAAGTGGGGTAAAAGAGTACTATGAATCTAATAAATGCAGACAGTGGTAAGAAGTCAGTGGAAGAAAAAAGAAAGAATTATTTTGTTTGCTTTGTTTTAATTCAGGCCTCAGGGGAACTTTACAAAATGTTGACTATGTGGTACCTATTATTAACCATATAAAAATAGCTGTGTTAATTAAATATTTGGTAGTGAACATGTTTTTGTAGTAATTTAGAAAAACCTTTAACAAAGGCATCCCTTTGAATAACCCACTTCTCACAGCATAAAACAACCTAGATATGTGTGGAGTGGAGTATCTGTGGAGCCATCCACAGGGCTCACTTCAACAGATAACGTAATATTTTGTCTAATAGCATTCATAGTACAAATACATGTTGATTGTTTATAATATTGAAAAAAATTTACCAAGTCTTAAGACATTTTGAATTTCTAAATTGTGTTATGATTACTTTATTAAACTATGGAAAGTAATGTTAAAATTTCAGCTTTACTAAAGTTCTTTAAAAAATTGAGAGTAGAACACTGGAAAAATGTAAATTTAGGTGAGGGCTCCTTTGTAACTGCTAACTCAGTCTCTGAAATCTGAGAAAAAGATAGTTTCATTCTGCAAAATGCTAAAGCTATGTAGAGATTTTTTGTTGCTGTTTTTTGGTTTGTTAGCTCTTTTGCTTTCACTGGATATTATCTTTCCAGTCTGATCTTATGATTTAATAATGACTTGTTTTCTTATCATAACTGCTCCTTTAGGTATTGGATCAGGTGTCAATTTCCAGTTGAGCAACCAACATAAATTCAATATCCTGATATTATACTCAACTACTAGGTAAGGCTACCTACTTGCTGGTCTCATTGAGACACGAGGTAAAGAACATTTTAGGGGAATGGAACCTGTTTAGGATTTGCCTATGTTTGCATCTTTTCTTACAGAAAAGAAAGAGATAGAGCAAGAGAAGAGCATACAAGTGCAGTAAATAAGATGTTCAGTCTACAGAATGAAGGGAATGAACAACAAGGCAGCCGATACAGTGTGATTCCACAAATTCAGAAGGTGTGTGAAGTTGTAGATGGGTTCATCTATGTTGCAAATGCCGAAGCTCATAAAAGTAAGCATTCTCTTATTTTCTTTTAAAAACACTATTATGTCTTTGTTTAAAAAGCAAATACGAAAATATGATTTTAGTATTTTAGTTTTAGTCTTTATTGTGCCTTCTTAAAAATATGATAGTTAATTTTATCAATGTGTTTCTCTGATGATTATGGTTAATAATAATTTTCCAACCCTGATGTACATTAGGATGCCCTGAGGAGCTAATGAAAAATACAGCTGACTGATTCTTACCTTGGCGGTGATTCATGCACTTGGGTTGTAGCCAGGAAATTCTGGTTTATATCAAAGTTTGTTACTATAACTATATAGAC